TGTGAGCCGGTTCCTCCGTAACGAGCAGCAGCAACGATGATCGCGTCATTTCCTGCCGTGGGAAGGACGGGTTTTATCTGTGCTGTGGAAGTGTTTACTGATCTTATTTATCCTCCACCAGAAACAGTCGGCCGGTTAACAGAATAAAAGCATGTAGACGTGAGTTTGTTAGAAACTTTAACTGTTTAATTTCTGTTTTTATTTGCTGGTTTGTTGTTTAGATGTTTTTAACGAGAGTCCGGTTCTGTTCGGATCGGGTCTGTTTTTACAGAAAGCGGTCACATTCTGTCGTGTTGGGTTTTAGTCTGAAAGGCGTCTGTGGACGCGTGATGCTGACGTTATCGTTACTATTATCATTATCAGCCACCCAGGTGCTGTTTTATTTCTTGTTGATTGTAATTTTAATTAGACAAATGCTTAGTGCTGCAGTTACTTTGCTGCTTAATTCAACCTTTAGTTCCATCGTCGTGTTTTCACCGTGCTGAACACCGGTGTTTTAGAGGTTAAAGCTTGATTCTTGTAGAGGAGGAGGGGTGGCGCCCACAGAAACACGCCTTTATTGGCTCGGGCGGATGCTGAGCATCCTAAACCTGCACCGTCTCTGTACGGAGAACTTTGATGTTCTTTTGTTTCAGTGTAAAGTTTTACTTGTAAAGTTGTTGTGTAAAATAGCAGGCACCATGGTGACAAATGTTGGTTTGTATAAGTGTAAATAATACAGAACAAATAATAAATAAGTGCCTCTGATGCTGAGCTTTGATCACTTCCCTCCTCTAACCAGCAGGTGGCAGCAGAGCTCCATCCTCCTTTATTCCTGCGTCACTTGTTTATCAGAATAAGGTTTCGTCCCTGTAAAGATGGTAACAACCAGATTAAAGCTCAATTACTCATAATTTGCTTAAATTATAGTGACATCATAACTCTACTGTGGTCCACTTTGTGCCTCTAAGTGTAGAAAAATCTCGTTTCAAAGTAAAAGAAAATAGCATCTCTGGAATCTGGATAAACAAACAAAATAAAACCGACTGATTCCCCCCAAACTCTAAAAGGTCAGATGTGATAAAAACAACATGTTAAGTGTTTATTAGCTATTAAACCTCTAATCTTATTGTCAGGTTAATTCTTTACTAAGTCATTTTTAAAACGACTGGTAGGAATTTATTGTTCTGAACGCAATGAATGAATAAACGTTGTTTACATGTTGTCGCCTCTGTGTGACAGGATTATTACGTCTCTAACAAAAACGGGTCACAGACTCATCAGCTTCCTGAGACGTAATGACTGTATTTGGTCATATTTGAATGTTTTCTGCCCAGAATCTCGTTATCTGTGCCTCCCTGCTGGTCCTCACATCCCAAGATCTAAACATTATATTATATTTAATCCTAAATATAAAACATTTGAACAGAAACAAGGTTTTTAATCAGATAAAGATCGTGAGAACTGCGTTTCTGCTCTGCAGGTGTAATTAAAGCAGCCTGTAGGTGTGGTTGCTCGCTGCGCCCTCTGTCGGTGATGAGCGGAACCGCCTCCGTAGAGTCACGTGACAGCAGCAGGCAAAGCGCTTGAATCGGCTCTGACTCGGGGCTGCGCGAGCCTCATCATCCTCATCATCTCACCACAAACCGCCGCAGCGGCAGAGAACCGAGCGAACCACCGGAGCCACCGGGGCCGTTACCGATTTCCAGGAGCCGGGCGCCATGGCGGACCCCCGCTAAAAAAACAACACCCAGATTTATCCTCTTTGTTCTCCCCCACCGCCTCGCAGTCCTCACGCGCCTCCACCGAGGAGGGGCCGCCGAGGAGCCGCTGTCCCTCTCTGAGCACCGGAGGAGCGAGGGAGGCAGGAGACTCTAACGGCAGCGACGGCGGAGGAGGAGGAGACAGCAAGCGAACCGGGGAGGCGTTTTCTACGGTGCGAGCCGAATGGCGGACCGCGAGGCGTCGCCGATACCGCTGGAGATCCGAGCCCGGCTGGCGGAGCTGGAGCTGGAGCTGTCAGAGGGTAAGTCGTTACCGGGGGGAGCCTTCTTCCCCCTCTCTCTTGTTTTCTTATCACGTAATCACATCACCATCCTCACCGGGAGCTCCGCGACTAACGGAATCTAACCGTTCATTCCTGCGGCCCCCGCCCCTCCCGTCCCGTCCCGTCCCGCTCCTCCCATCCAGATGTTTGTCACCGGGGACCCGGCCCGGGCAGTGGGGCTGAGGCCGCAGGGGTTCGGTTCTACTCTTTGTCTATCACACGGTACCGGTTACACTGAACACCGGCCCTGGGTTCCGGTTCTGGTCCGGAAACAGAACCGTGGTGTGACCTTGAGATACTGACAACCAGGCTAGCCTACCTGTGTGTGTGTGTGTGTGTGTGTGTGTGTGTGTGTGTGTGTGTGTGTGTGTGTGTGTGTGTGTGTGTGTGTGTGTTAACAATAGCTTTGCGGTGTCACGCAGCAGAGGCTGATCTCCAGCCCGGTTCTGGTTCTGTGGGCCTGAGCAGAGCAGCTGAGGATGCCTGGGAATACCCCCCCCCCCCCCCCCCCCCCATCCGTTCTTCCTAGTGTGTTTCCACCCAGCAGCATTCCCTTTCCATTAACCTGGAATCTCTTAGGAGCAGGACAACATGGCTGATCTGCTGCAGGATGAGGACAGGGACCCGTAACTCCTCCAGGGTCCAGCCCAGTAAAGTCCAGATGGTTCAGAGAAATCCGTTAATGTTCAGCTCCTCTCCAGGATTTCAGTGGTTGAATAATTTATCCCAATAAAGGTTTATGACAGCCGGATTCTGCAGCTTTAACACAAAACTCCGGTTTGTGATCGGCCTCGTCGTTCACAAAAGTCTCACCTTCCATTTGCTGGTGAAGGTTCTCGGTCATCTTCTGTTCCACTCCTCAGGTGTGACTCCCGGAGGCCGGTGCTGAGCCCGTCTTCCATCCTGGACCGGGTTGAAACGTTTAGACCCTTGTTTTGTCAGGATGGTTCCAGAAAACTTAGAACTCATTTATGTTGTGATCTTCTGTCCAGGCTGTCAGAGGTTATGTGTGCTGCTTAGTGGCGGGACAGCCGCTCGCCCACCACGGCCCCGGGTCCAGCCGGGAGGGCTCATCAGAACAGAACCAGATGCTGACAGGTGTTAGTGAAGACTTTCAGGCGTTTGATGTTTACGGTGGATAGGGTCAGATGATGGATGGGTCGGTGTTCTGATGGATCTGCTGCAAGGTCACCGTCGAACATCATCAGGCTGGTTAATGGATGGCAGAGTTTCAGAGAGGATTAACCTGGAAGGGTTTAAAAAGGGTGACAGTTTAATCTGGAAAACGCCTAAAATCATTAAAACCATCTGTAGGCAAAACTTGATTTAATCCCTCTCCAAACAAAAATATCGTTTATGCTGTTTTATTTAGACAAACGGGTCATATCCAGGTGTTACCTAGACTCAGTGGGAGGGCTCTGGACAGGGTTTTGATGGTTTTGAGACTAAATAACCAACAAACCTTCCTGTCAGCAGATTGTTGATGAGGCACGTGTTTGTTAGATAGTCAGTGATCAGGTGAGCTCGCGGCTCTAAAAGCTGATGTTCTGCAGGGTTTTGTTGTATTAGCAACCTGTGATTCACAGATGAGCTGCTTTAGCAGCAGGATTTGCAGGAGAAACGGTGCTCAGATGTCCTACAGACCCTGAAGTATCCTGATGAAGCTGCAGGTCCCTGTGTGAGGTGTTCACGGACCTGTTGTTGAGTTTTTCTTTCTAATCTCTTCCTGCTTATCAGACCGGCTCACGCAGCTGGATGGATGGATGGATGGATGGATAGATAGATAGATGATAGATAGATAGATAGATGGATGATAGATAGATAGATAGATAGATAGATAGATGATAGATAGATAGATAGATAGATGATAGATAGATAGATAGATAGATAGATAGATAGATGATAGATAGATAGATAGATAGATAGATAGATAGATAGATAGATAGATAGATAGATAGATAGATGATAGATAGATAGATAGACAGACAGACAGACAGACAGACAGACAGACAGACAGACAGACAGATGATAGATAGATAGATAGATAGATAGATAGATAGATAGATAGATAGATAGATAGATAGATGGATGATAGATAGATAGATAGATGATAGATAGATAGACAGACAGACAGACAGACAGATGATAGATAGATAGATAGATAGATAGATAGATAGATAGATAGATAGATAGATAGATAGATAGATGATAGATAGATTGATAGATAGATGATAGATAGATAGATGATAGATAGATAGATAGACAGACAGACAGATAGATAGATGACAGACAGACAGACAGACAGACAGACAGACAGACAGACAGATAGATAGATAGATAGATAGATAGATAGATAGATAGATAGATAGATAGATAGATAGATAGATGATAGATAGATAGATAGATAGATGATAGATAGATAGATGATAGATAGATAGATAGATGATAGACAGACAGACAGACAGATATATAGATAGATAGATAGATGATAGATAGATAGATGATAGATAGATAGATGATTGATAGATAGATGATAGACAGACAGACAGATAGATAGATAGATAGATAGATGATAGACAGACAGACAGATAGATGATAGATAGATAGATGATAGATAGATAGATGATAGATAGATAGATGATAGACAGACAGACAGATAGATAGATAGATAGATAGATGATAGACAGACAGACAGATAGATGATAGATAGATAGATAGATAGATAGATAGATAGATAGATAGATGATAGATAGATAGATGATAGATAGATAGATGATAGATAGATAGATGATAGACAGACAGACAGATAGATAGATAGATAGATAGATAGATGATAGACAGACAGACAGATAGATGATAGATAGATAGATGATAGATAGATAGATGATAGATAGATAGATGATAGACAGACAGACAGATAGATGATAGATAGATAGATGATAGATAGATAGATGATAGACAGACAGACAGATAGATGATAGATAGATAGATGATAGACAGACAGACAGATAGATAGATAGATAGATAGATGATAGACAGACAGACAGATAGATGATAGATAGATAGATGATAGATAGATAGATGATAGACAGACAGACAGATAGATAGATAGATAGATAGATAGATGATAGATAGATAGATAGATAGATGATAGATAGATAGATGATAGATAGATAGATAGATAGATAGATGATAGATAGATGATAGATAGACAGACAGACAGACAGACAGACAGACAGACAGACAGATAGATAGATAGATGTTATTTGTCATTAAGTAGTCCCAAGTCTAAAATGGCGCCTGTGATAATTTTTTATGTTAATAATTATTTTCACCTGCAGTCAGTCGGATTATTTAGGTCACCAAGCAGAATTAGGATCACTACTGAGGGATTTTAATGAGGTTTTTGCTCACAGTGCTAGTCAGTCTCATGCTAAGCTAAAGCTAAAGCGTTGTCGGTCAGGAGGAACGACTGGGCCGGTTAAAATGAGCTTTTTCCCACTTATCAAACTGGGAAAATGTCAACGGACAAAATTTCAATTGTGGGTGGAATATTGGATTGAATTGGTGGATTAGCTGTTTGGTTAACATCATGACTTCCTGCATAAAACACGCACGTGTTTGTGTTGTGATTGGCTATCAGCTGCTGACTCATCAGATTTTGGTGCAGTAAAAGGAGCCGTGGTGACCATCTTTAATCTACCATAAGTTAATCAGCTGTAGATGATTCCTACCTGGGAGTTACATTATAATCACACACACACACACACACACACACACACACACACACACACACACACACACACACACACACACACACACACACACACACACACACACACACACACACACACACACACACACACACACACACACACACACACACACGCGCACGCACGCACGCGATGTTTCTTTTGAACCTGTTTTAATCAGATAAAACGACTCCTCAGAACCAACGCTGCGTGAGCGGTCCGCTGACAGCTGAGTGGCGTGCGTCGGTGGAATCTGGACAGAGTCGTTGTTCAGCCTGTTTGAAGTGACGTCCGTCTCCGACCCAACAGAACTGCTCAGTGGGCCGGTTCTGTGGGCGTGTTGTGTAATTCCACTGCTCACAGTCAACAACTTGAATCTAAAGCCTTGTGTCATAAAGCTGCTGAAGGTCCACCTTCAGAGGCTCAGAACCAGATGAGTCTGCTGGATCGGGCTGTCTGGAAGGTGTTCAGGACCAGGAAGTCGTCTCCAAACGGACCTCCAGCTCTGACGGGAAGGTAGCTCCAGTCAGATCGTTTATAAACAACAACATCAGCAGACGGTTGGTGCTGCTCGTGTTTCTGTCTGGATGAAACTTCACGAGGAAGCGCCTGAGCGATCAGACGGAGGTGTTACTAAAACAAACAGCTGCGACCATTTAACGTCTCAAACCACAGCGGCTGGTTAGGGTTAGGGTTTAGATTTAAAGTCTGAGGGAAAAGAATCCATCCCAGCTGTTTTCAGCAGCTTCATCACGTCACTAATGATGCTTCACTCATGCAGATGAATCTTTTAGTGTTGCATTCACTGTAATATTAATACTAATGATCATTATTCCCATCCAGGGAGACGCGAGGACATGTGAAGAAGCCCTTCATGTTTTATCTTTGAGCAGAAACACGTTTAAAATCACATTTTAACCTCACTCTGAACGCTCTACTGTTTCCCACCTGAACATGGAACGTTTGATTCAGACAGAGAAACACTAAAACTCATAATTTGTGGTAGACTAGAAGTGTCTTTAATCAGCATCAGACTTCAGAGACGACCCGTTAATGTCCTCTAGGACCCTGGTCCTCCAGGCCTACTCTCCTACATGATTTGCATGTTGCCCTTTCAAACATCAGCATTTCCCTGCTGCCACACACCTGACTTAAATGAATGAGTGATTAACAGGCACCTGCAGCACTTGATTGAATCAGGTGTTGCTGAAACAAAGATATGGAAAA